GGAGGTAGGAAAGGAACCTATGTGGAAGTGTTGCCTTAGAACACTTTTAAATGGGGAATATAAGAGGGAGAATTGCTAACAGTGCCATAAGAGTTGTGCCACAAGGAAACCGAGATTCACAGGGACTTTGCTCCTTATGCCCAAGATCCATCCTGATCTGAAAGTTAGTTATATATCATGCGGGGGGCGGGGGGTGTTAAGAGCTTTAGTTAGCCATCTCAGATTTCAGTCGCTCATTGTGAGCTCATTGAAACAGTGAAATTCTAAAACAGCGCAACGTGAATACAGAATAAAGTCTCTACCTTATTGAAGCCCAAGGGGACAATCACCCATTCTCCTCTGCATGCCCCATCCTCACAGACTGAGTAGCACCTGGCATACCCTGCTCCATATGGCAGTGTCAGTGAAATACTGCTGGGTTGCTATGAAGCTAAGTAATTGGTTCCTTTCCCATCTTCCAAAAAAGGCAATAGAAAAAAGCTAGCTTTTAATTTAAAAATTTGGGCATCAGAGGGAAGACTGAAATGGCATCTTTCTTATGTTCACTAAAGCAGGAGGTACAGAAAGGCCAACGGGGAAGGAAAAAAAAAGCAACACATAGTTTAAATTTTCCTGTTCTGGATCCCTGACCTGCTGTGTCTCAAACATGGTAATCAGCATTCTTCCTTCCCAAGGAACCATGCACACACAACTGTTACAGCAAAATTTTCAAGTATTTGTACAAAAGGGCAATTAACCTTTTTTAGATTTCTCCTCCGCACCCCAGCATGAATGTGTCATCTGGATAATCGCACACTGCTTTTCTCTCCACTCCATCTTTCAGGCTGGCAGTACAGTCCTGAAGCAACCATTCTAGCCATAAGGGTGTTTTGGAGTCTGACTCCAGCGGTCTTTAATATTAAAGATAACATCATTTATTCATCATAAAACATTCACGTTTCTAAGAGCAACTTCTCTTCCTTTAATCCTACCCTTTCACTTCTCTAGTGAGTGTGGATGTATGTACAACTACACTGAATTGCAACATGGAATATTGCACTGGCCACGTGTGCATGTCTCTTGCTGGTCGAAGTGCCAGCTTACAGGAAAACAGAAGTGAATTCAGAATCCTGAGTTTAAAATTCAATTAGGGTTTTACAGATTGCTACTGACCTAACTGACCTTGGTTAAGCAATGGCACAGCTGTAATACTGTTGCACAAAAAGGCACCCGGACTAGCATACTTACTCTCTAAATCTTCTGCTGTGGATTTTTGGAAGATTGGTGTTTAGCTGGTTTACAGTGGGAACACTTATGCTCGAATCTTTGAACTCTGTACATGCCAGAAGTACTTCTGAACTGTCTTGAATCACATCAAGGGACGTCACAGGAATATCTTCTGTAATAGCTAAACATAAAGATAGATCTTTAAAAGATGTTATAAAAGGCACAGACCAAAGACAGATCTGTAACTGAGAATATAATCCAGGACTCTCCAAGGACAGACCAGTTAGGAAGCAGTGACCCAAGTACAGGGAACATGAAAGGCTCTAGTTATCGTTTACCTATTTCAGGATTATTAGGTATTCGCTTCTCCTATAATAGTGAAGTGAATGACCTGCAAGGAAAGTATTCAGTCATGAGCAGTGTGCTTTAAAATCTAGTCCCTTCAGAGTCAGGTCTTGCCACTTCAGTCTTTGGCAGGGGGCAGGCAACAAACTCACTGCTAAAAACCTTAGCATGGAGTCAAGGTCGACCGGCAGTGCCTTGCACCCTTCTGAAGCACTGGATGTGCTTTTACATTTACTGGTTTTAAGAGGTAAGCAAAGTTAATGTCATTATCAGCCTTGACCCACCCATCCATTGGAACGGCCAAGAGCCACGGGGATACACTGGAGTGTTTCAGTTAGCTGTCTTTTAATCAAGGCCTGAGAAATAACTAGTAAACGTACATTTGATGATAAGCGGTTATGTTCCCTACAGAAATCTACTCTCTTATTCACCTGCACACACTTCAATTGCTCTTCAGTTATTAGGAAAACTAAACTGACTGGTGCAGCACTAACTTACAAAAGGTTGCTAGAGTTTATGCTGCAGTATGAGGAGATACATCTGCATCTAAAGAGGTCACAGATCCCCCTTTCTGAGTTGCACTAGTTTTGGAAGTAGTTGGCCAATTTCTATCCTCAGCCACTCCACTGGAATCTTGTTCAAGAAATGGATGAGGAGTCTGCAGCATGAACGTGCACCTTAGTGGGGTCATCTGACCCCAGCAGTCTTTCCTGCCCAAGTGCAGGGGGGCTGGACCCAATGATCTTGTGAGGTCCCTTCCAGCCCCTAACACCCATGAATTTATGATCCTATTAGCCTCAGAGCTAATGATAAGCAACTCCTTCCATCTTCCCTGTAACGATGCTACAATAGGAATATCTACTCATATATTCTGATTTCAGAGCACTTTGGCCAGGGATTAACCCCTGGCAAATCACTATTTTAATTTTTAAGCAAAAAAGAAAACAAAAAATGCTGGAAACTTGACACAGCCCCTCCATCACCACAGTGACAACATCATCTCAGACACATCAGAATTAAATCTGTCATGTTTCCAAACACCTGCCTTCCTGGATATTTCTCAGGCTTTCAAATGCACAGCTAGCATATTTATACATGCATGCATGGTACAGTTTGCTTCAGGTTTAGGTATGGAGCATCTCTATTTCCTCATGTGCCCACAGCTTTTGCAATATCAGCTCAAACCAAAAAAACTTGCTCGTGGGGCTAAAATTCCCCAAATACCTGCCAAATGCAGATACACAGCAAGGAACGTGCACAACACACACTCTGAAAAAGCTGTCAAAGGCAGAACTCAAACTCACAGTAGGTGGGTATTGCTCAGATTCAATGTCCACAGCATGTCATTTTGAGCTATCCATTTACTTCAACACCAGAGTGCCTGCAAAAGCTCTACTTTGCAACAGAGTCTTAGTCCTGCTGCACACATGCAAATGACTTCCTCTGGCTTGTTTAGCTGACATAAATCACACTGCAGATCAGTGTGCTTTTACTCTGAATAATTTAAAATCACGGCTTTCCCAAGGGGCAGTAGTGTCAAATACTAGCTTAGACCAATCCCGAGTCCTAGTCTGAGCCCCACCTGTGCACAAAAAAAGAGTAATAATAAAATGTAAAAACCCATTATTTATATAAATTTCTGTATATTACTATGTATTCATCTTTATGCCCATTATTGTTTACATATTTATATTAGTCACATTTATATTTTAATAAACAACTATATTTTAACTATGTGTTTGTTTAATAATGGATTACTTATTAATGTTATTCATTTATATTATTTATATTTGCATTCATGTTATTCACGTTATATTTATATATAAATGCAAATAATTATGAGAGAGAGACAGACGGACAGAATGCGTGTGTTGGGCGTTATGTTTCAGAAACTCATTGCTCCAGTGATGTCTAACTAATGATTATTAGCACTCATGGAAGCAGAAGGTGCAGCATTTAAAACCACTTGGGTATTTTTCCTGGATTTTGAAGCACCTAGAAAAAGCAGCCACTTAAAACAGCAAACAAGAAATTCTCAACTGACTATAGGAAAGCTGTCATTCCCTTAGAAGAGGAACAGGAAAAACAATATTTACTGTAAGGAAAATTTATATTTTCATGTATTCAGATTTATCTTGATATTTTATAATATTCAAAGTGTACTGGACTGAAATTCAGTTTGAGATAACTAATCACCTCATACAAAAGACTAACATTATTGCAGGTTAAATATATACAAGAAAATGGAATCAAATTGGGGGGGTGTAGCTGAATGTGGAACAAATGCCATAGACAATAAAATGTATAAGCAAACGATATAGCTTTCTATTGGAACTGGAGAAAGAGAAGCTTCATTTGGTAAGCTACACAAAAAAGTGGTAGAATATGTTGTGTAGTTTTTTTTTTTTGGGGGGGGGGGGGGGGTTTTTAA